TTTAGTTTACGAGATATTCGCGTTTGAATAAAATGGGCAAAAATTGAAAAATGTCACTTTTTAGCACTTTTAGTGGCGTTTTTTGACTTTTTACTGTAGGAAATATAATTATTTTATATTTTTATCTGATACAGAATTTTCCAATCTATCATAATCAGCAATTTGTTGGTTGCTGTGGCTTTTAGTTTAAGAGATATGAATTTTCAAAAATCGTCGAAAAAAAGTATCAAGCACCCCCCCTTGGCAATTTTTTCTTAAGAATGAAAATTTCATCTCTCAGATTTCCCTTTTAACTATTGTATCTGATAGAGATTGGTCCGTACATTAAGACGCTGCGATCAGATCTTAATTATCTCTTTTAGTTTACGAGATATTCGCGTTTGAATAAAATGGGCAAAAATTGAAAAATGTCACTTTTTAGCACTTTTAGTGGCGTTTTTTGACCTTTTACTGTAGGAAATATAATTATTTTATATTTTTATCTGATACAGAATTTTTCAATCTATCATAATCAGCAATTTGTTGGTTGCTGTGGCTTTTAGTTTAAGAGATATGAATTTTCAAAAATCGTCGAAAAAAAGTATCAAGCACCCCCCCTTGGCAATTTTTTCTTAAGAATGAAAATTTCATCTCTCAGATTTCCTTTTAACTATTGTATCTGATAGAGATTGGTCCGTACATTAAGACGCTGCGATCAGATCTTAATTATCTCTTTTAGTTTACGAGATATTCGCGTTTGAATAAAATGGGCAAAAATTGAAAAATGTCACTTTTTAGCACTTTTAGTGGCGTTTTTTGACCTTTTACTGTAGGAAATATAATTATTTTATATTTTTATCTGATACAGAATTTTTCAATCTATCATAATCAGCAATTTGTTGGTTGCTGTGGCTTTTAGTTTAAGAGATATGAATTTTCAAAAATCGTCGAAAAAAAGTATCAAGCACCCCCCCTTGGCAATTTTTTCTTAAGAATGAAAATTTCATCTCTCAGATTTCCCTTTTAACTATTGTATCTGATAGAGATTGGTCCGTACATTAAGACGCTGCGATCAGATCTTAATTATCTCTTTTAGTTTACGAGATATTCGCGTTTGAATAAAATGGGCAAAAATTGAAAAATGTCACTTTTTAGCACTTTTAGTCGCGTTTTTCGACCTTTTACTGTAGGAAATATAATTATTTTATATTTTTATCTGATACAGAATTTTCAATCTATCATAATCAGCAATTTGTTGGTTGCTGTGGCTTTTAGTTTAAGAGATATGAATTTTCAAAAATCGTCGAAAAAAAGTATCAAGCACCCCCCCTTGGCAATTTTTTCTTAAGAATGAAAATTTCATCTCTCAGATTTCCCTTTAACTATTGTATCTGATAGAGATTGGTCCGTACATTAAGACGCTGCGATCAGATCTTAATTATCTCTTTTAGTTTACGAGATATTCGCGTTTGAATAAAATGGACAAAAATTGAAAATGTCACTTTTAGCACTTTTAGTCGCGTTTTTGACCTTTTACTGTAGGAAATATAATTATTTTATATTTTTATCTGATACAGAATTTTTCAATCTATCATAATCAGCAATTTGTTGGTTGCTGTGGCTTTTAGTTTAAGAGATATGAATTTTCAAAAATCGTCGAAAAAAAGTATCAAGCACCCCCCCTTGGCAATTTTTTCTTAAGAATGAAAATTTCATCTCTCAGATTTCCTTTTAACTATTGTATCTGATAGAGATTGGTCCGTACATTAAGACGCTGCGATCAGATCTTAATTATCTCTTTTAGTTTACGAGATATTCGCGTTTGAATAAAATGGGCAAAAATTGAAAATGTCACTTTTAGCACTTTTAGTCGCGTTTTTGACCTTTTACTGTAGGAAATATAATTATTTTATATTTTTATCTGATACAGAATTTTTCAATCTATCATAATCAGCAATTTGTTGGTTGCTGTGGCTTTTAGTTTAAGAGATATGAATTTTCAAAAATCGTCGAAAAAAAGTATCAAGCACCCCCTTGGCAATTTTTCTTAAGAATGAAAATTTCATCTCTCAGATTTCCCTTTTAACTATTGTATCTGATAGAGATTGGTCCGTACATTAAGACGCTGCGATCAGATCTTAATTATCTCTTTTAGTTTACGAGATATTCGCGTTTGAATAAAATGGGCAAAAATTGAAAAATGTCACTTTTTAGCACTTTTAGTGGCGTTTTTTGACCTTTTACTGTAGGAAATATAATTATTTTATATTTTTATCTGATACAGAATTTTTCAATCTATCATAATCAGCAATTTGTTGGTTGCTGTGGCTTTTAGTTTAAGAGATATGAATTTTCAAAAATCGTCGAAAAAAAGTATCAAGCACCCCCTTGGCAATTTTTCTTAAGAATGAAAATTTCATCTCTCAGATTTCCCTTTTAACTATTGTATCTGATAGAGATTGGTCCGTACATTAAGACGCTGCGATCAGATCTTAATTATCTCTTTTAGTTTACGAGATATTCGCGTTTGAATAAAATGGGCAAAATTGAAAAATGTCACTTTTAGCACTTTTAGTCGCGTTTTTGACCTTTTACTGTAGGAAATATAATTATTTTATATTTTTATCTGATACAGAATTTTCAATCTATCATAATCAGCAATTTGTTGGTTGCTGTGGCTTTTAGTTTAAGAGATATGAATTTTCAAAAATCGTCGAAAAAAGTATCAAGCACCCCCTTGGCAATTTTTCTTAAGAATGAAAATTTCATCTCTCAGATTTCCTTTTAACTATTGTATCTGATAGAGATTGGTCCGTACATTAAGACGCTGCGATCAGATCTTAATTATCTCTTTTAGTTTACGAGATATTCGCGTTTGAATAAAATGGGCAAAAATTGAAAAATGTCACTTTTTAGCACTTTTAGTCGCGTTTTTCGACCTTTTACTGTAGGAAATATAATTATTTTATATTTTTATCTGATACAGAATTTTTCAATCTATCATAATCAGCAATTTGTTGGTTGCTGTGGCTTTTAGTTTAAGAGATATGAATTTTCAAAAATCGTCGAAAAAAAGTATCAAGCACCCCCCCTTGGCAATTTTTCTTAAGAATGAAAATTTCATCTCTCAGATTTCCCTTTTAACTATTGTATCTGATAGAGATTGGTCCGTACATTAAGACGCTGCGATCAGATCTTAATTATCTCTTTTAGTTTACGAGATATTCGCGTTTGAATAAAATGGGCAAAAATTGAAAAATGTCACTTTTTAGCACTTTTAGTGGCGTTTTTTGACCTTTTACTGTAGGAAATATAATTATTTTATATTTTTATCTGATACAGAATTTTTCAATCTATCATAATCAGCAATTTGTTGGTTGCTGTGGCTTTTAGTTTAAGAGATATGAATTTTCAAAAATCGTCGAAAAAAAGTATCAAGCACCCCCCCTTGGCAATTTTTTCTTAAGAATGAAAATTTCATCTCTCAGATTTCCTTTTAACTATTGTATTTGATAGAGATTGGTCCGTACATTAAGACGCTGCGATCAGATCTTAATTATCTCTTTTAGTTTACGAGATATTCGCGTTTGAATAAAATGGGCAAAAATTGAAAAATGTCACTTTTTAGCACTTTTAGTGGCGTTTTTTGACCTTTTACTGTAGGAAATATAATTATTTTATATTTTTATCTGATACAGAATTTTTCAATCTATCATAATCAGCAATTTGTTGGTTGCTGTGGCTTTTAGTTTAAGAGATATGAATTTTCAAAAATCGTCGAAAAAAAGTATCAAGCACCCCCTTGGCAATTTTTCTTAAGAATAAAAATTTCATCTCTCAGATTTCCTTTTAACTATTGTATCTGATAGAGATTGGTCCGTACATTAAGACGCTGCGATCAGATCTTAATTATCTCTTTTAGTTTACGAGATATTCGCGTTTGAATAAAATGGGCAAAAATTGAAAAATGTCACTTTTTAGCACTTTTAGTGGCGTTTTTTGACTTTTTACTGTAGGAAATATAATTATTTTATATTTTTATCTGATACAGAATTTTCCAATCTATCATAATCAGCAATTTGTTGGTTGCTGTGGCTTTTAGTTTAAGAGATATGAATTTTCAAAAATCGTCGAAAAAAAGTATCAAGCACCCCCTTGGCAATTTTTCTTAAGAATGAAAATTTCATTTCTCAGATTTCCCTTTTAACTACTGTATCTGATAGAGATTGGTCCGTACATTAAGACGCTGCGATCAGATCTTAATTATCTCTTTTAGTTTACGAGATATTTGCGATTGAATAAAATAGGCAAAAATTGAAAAAGTGTCACTTTTAGCACTTTTAGTGGCGTTTTTTGACTTTTTACTGTAGGAAATATAATTATTTTATAGTTTTATCTGATACAGAGTTTTCCAATCTATCATAATCAGCAATTTGTTGGTTGCTGTGGCTTTTAGTTTAAGAGATATGAATTTTCAAAAATCGTCGAAAAAAAGTATTAAGCACCCCCCCTTGGCAATTTTTTCTTAAGAATGAAAATTTCATCTCTCAGATTTCCCTTTTAACTACTGTATCTGATAGAGATTGGTCCGTACATTAAGACGCTTACGAGATATTTGCGATTGAATAAAATAGGCAAAAATTTAAAAAGTGTCACGTTTTAGCACTTTTTTTTTAACACGGGAACACGATGCTGGAATAAGTTTGGAATAATTTTCCCAGATGCGGAATTTAATTCTGAATCACACTGTATTGAAATTTATTTCGAGAAAATTCCGTATTGCGAGTTGTATTGAAAGTTGTGTGTATACGCACTGCTACTCGTTGCGCTTGGAATTGTAGTTTTACAGATATAACTCACGAGCGCGGTGTCACAATAAGTTTGGAATTATTTTCCGAGATGAGAATTTAATTCTGTATCTCTCTGTATTGAAATTTATTGCGAGATTTATATATACTAATACTTATATATTATATTTATACATACTTATGCAAGTTGTTTTAACTTACGTTTTTTTACAGTATTCGCTGTACCATGGAGTCCGATGAGTTCTGCATTAACATTTACATAAACGTTATCGCTACCCTTCTACGGTGCCTTGAATGGGAGTCCATTCCTACCGCAATCTTCGTGCGTTGCTCTAAAGGGGAGTCTTTATGGATCCTGTGAGAATAATTAATTTAATTTATGTATATCTATATTTCATTTACATAAATATTTTCCAGTTGTTGGATGAAGCATTGGCAATCCTGAGATGGCCTAGTTTATCAATAGGGACCAACTGGAGAGGTTCCGTGCTACAGGTAGAGTGCGTTTTGAGGATGAAGTTTTGATTATTGAAGATGGATGTGTCAATTAGACTAAAATACCCAGAACGTATGTTATATTTTTGCAATTTATAATATTTGATATGTTACTGTTTTGTTATTCATTCTGATTTATATAGTCCGAGAAATTGAAGATTGGATTGCCGGTGTTTCGAAGCTGTTATTGATTTAATTTTTGTTTATTTTGTTAAAAGTTATATAAAGAGCATTATATAATTGTGTAATATTATCCTGTTTTCATGCTTCTATTGTTAAAAATGCTGTATATATTAAGAAATTGAGTTTGTGACTCTACATGTTTGAATAAAATTGTTGTTTTATATTTTTAACTATAAATTTTTATTGTGTTATTTGTCCCCAACGGAGAACATAGCTCACAACATCGTTACTCCTTTAATTAATCCATAAATCCCTTAAACTTTAATGGAAATGCCACTGCTAGATATGAGAAATAGTTCAAAATCAATTTTATATTGTATCAATATTAATTTAAAAACGGTATCACTAGTGTCATCTATCCACGAGTAACTAAACTACGCCGCTATTCAAGATTGCTGGAGATTCAACCTACTGCACTTTCTGCGATCCTAATATTCAAAAGAATTTTGTGACCGATTTCAATGGATTTCTCGACAAAATTTGTCGAGAAATTTGCTGAAATGTTGCTGCTCATCAGTCTGTAGTATTAGGAACGCAGAAAGTAGACATAGATAGTTCCCGCCAAATCTACTATGTAAATTATTTCAATTTGTTTCAAAATTTCAACTTTTAACTTTCAACATAAAAAAGAGAAATCTTTTGCCTTTTTTATAACAAAATCTTTTCTTTAAAATTTTTTTGTGCCATTTTGATGATTTTTCAATAATGAAGCCACCTTGTAGGGAATTTTTCAAGGATCAATATTATGTAGTTCTTAATTTTCTAGCCCTCTTAGTTGTCGAGATCCTTCAGAATTTGAAAACCGAATTTGCTGAATAAAGATTTTTAAAAATTCATTTTACCCGCCATTACTAGTTACCGCCTCTTTCATTGACATACCTCCTCACCCTTTCTGCGATCCGAATACCAAATCCTGAGTTTCGACTGTTTCGAGTCCAAATTTTGTGTCATTTTGCCTCTGAGAGTCGACGAAATAAAGATTGAATATTAGGATCGCAGAAAGTTGAGGAGGCTGATAAAGTTTTCGCGGCAACTAGTAATGTGCTGCCTCTGGTGGCGATGGGCCGAAGCTTAAAACTTTCGGTTGTTGTAGTTTCTAATTGATAGATGGCACTAGCATGCAATTTTCAAAATAAATAATTTAAGAGATCGTTAAATAAGTGATCGGGTAGAAATAAGAGAAATAATTATAATATAAACTTAAAAATATTCTTTATTAAAGAAAACACACAAGCATACATTTTGGGAGTCAATTTGTGTAATAATCACATAAGTTATTTAAGATAATGAAATTTAATAACAATCTGATGCAAGAATGGTCCATCTACGATGTCAGACTCAGGTGCAAAATCCCTAAAACAATCAAAAATTAGTCTTTCGAACATAAAAATGCAATTTTTAGGGTTAATTTGTGAGGTAATCACAAAAGTTATTTGGGAAAATGATAAAGAAATTAAATGCTTACAATCTGATACCAGAATGGTCCTTCTACGATGTCAGACTCAGGTGCAAAATCCCTAAAACAAACAAAAATTAGTCCTTCGAACATAAAAAGGCAATTTTGGGGTCAATTTTACGATAATCTTAAAAGTTATTTAGGAAAATGATAAAAGAATTAATTACTTACAATCTGATACCAGAATGGTCCTTCTACGATGTCAGACTCAGGTGCAAAATCCCTAAAACAAACAAAAATTAGTCCTTCGAATATAAAAATGCAATTTTGGGGATCAATTTGTGAGAAAATCACAAAAATTATTTAGGAAAATAATAAAGAAATTAAATACTTACAATCTGATGCAAGAATGGTCCTTCTACGATGTCAGACTCAGGTGCAAAATCCCTAAAACAAGCAAAAATTAGTCCTTCGAACATAAAAAGGCAATTTTGGGGGTCAATTTGCACAATAATCATAAAAGTTACTTAGGAAAATGATAAAGGAATTAATTACTTACAATCTGATACCAGAATGGTCCTTCTACGATGTCAGACTCAGGTGCAAAATCCCTAAAACAAACAAAAATTAGTCCTTCGAATATAAAAATGCAATTTTGGGGGTCAATTTCTGAGATAATCACAAAAGTAATATAGGATGATGATAAAGAAATTAATTACTTACAATCTGATGCAAGAATGGTCCTTCTACGATGTCAGACTCAGGTGCAAAATCCCTAAAACAAACAAAAATTAGTCCTTCGAATATAAAAATGCAATTTTGGGGATCAATTTGTGAGAAAATCACAAAAATTATTTAGGAAAATAATAAAGAAATTTAATACTTACAATCTGATGCAAGAATGGTCCTTCTACAATGTCAGAATTCGAACGTACATTTTTACAAAAAATTTGACCAAAAAAATTTGTCAAAATAGTTCTGCCGACATTTTTTAATCGGACGGAAAATTTTTTACAAAAGAGTTGGACCGAAAAAATTTAAAAAAATCCACCGATAAAATGTTTACAAAAAATTCGACAAAATCATTTTAACAGCAAAATTCGACCGAAAAATTTTAAGTAAAAATTTTCGACCCTGTTTTCCACCAAAAAATTTAACAGAAATAATTCGACCTTATGTTTCGACCAAAAAATTTTAAGTAAAAATGTTCGACCCTGTTATTCGGCCAAAAATTAAAATTATTGGTTGCAATGTTTGAAAGCTATTTTAAAACACTTTTAAAGGGTTTATAGGGTAAAAATGTATGTATTGCGTTGAGAATCCCTTGAGATCTAACATGATGTTGAGAAACTTCAAGAAAATTAATTAGTTCAGAAGATACAGGTCGTTTTCTACACAATGTTTTTAAATTTTCAGAAAATTGCCAACTTTGGAAGGTAATTTTATGGCACTTACAACCGGTTTAGAGGGTTGAAATAAAATGCATCGTAAAAAGGTCTCTTGAATTATAATATGGCGCTGAGAAACTTAGAAAAAATATATTAGTGCAGGAGATACAGGGCGTTTTCCACACAATGTTTTCAAATTTTTATAAAATTGCTAACTTTTAAAAAGCATTTGATGGCACTTTTAAATGGTTTACAGAGTTGATATGGAATACATCGTAAAAAATGTCTTTCGGACTATAATATGGCGTCAGGAAACTTGGAGAAAGTGTATTAGTTCAGGAGATACAAGGTGTTTTCCACATCATGTTTTCAAATTTTCATAATGTGGCCAACTATAAAAAGGCATTTTAGGGCACTTCCAAATTGTATAGAAGATTGAAATAAAATGCATTGTACAAAGGGTCTCTTGGAGTATAATATGGCGTCAAGAAACTTGCAGAAAGTTTATTAGTTCCGAAGATACAGGTACGTTTTTCGTACGTGTATCTCTTGTACGCATTATATTGAAATTTTAAAAGGTAGCAGGATTACCGAAGTTTCTAGCTAGTAACTATATTATGCTATAATGCAAGTAAACGTACATAGAAACAAGAATATTTAGCGATATTGATTTTATTCAATAAAACTGAGCTGATTCCAACAATTCATTGTTGAGGCACTTACGTGATGAAACTCCATAATTATCGTCAAATGAAAGAATAAACCTTAAAGGCTTCACAAAACTTATTACACGCTGCAACATGCTGTGGCCCACTGTGTGTAATATGATCGTCCACCAAAGTTTAACAATCAGCTGATCGGCAATTATGCGAACTGATGATTTCAAGGATTTAGAATATATGTGCAAATACAAAAACCTCAACGTGGTAAGTAAAGTGGAAGTAAAAAAATAGCGTAACTATCACGTGGCTAAACATTGTTAAACACTTGGCACAATAGTCCTGACGATGCTCTCACCGGCAAAACAATTGCAGTTTCTTAAATTAAACCAGTGCAAAGAGACTAAAACGCTCTCAGTAAAAATACATATTACGATATTAATTCGATTCACCTAACAACTCAAAACCTTGTGAGTTGCAATATACACTTTTAGCGCGATCAAAAACCGACCGGACAATAAACGCGCAAATAGTAAATAGCATTACTCTAGTAGATACAATTAAATAGTCGAAAGATGATTAAATTTATTGCGAATTTGAAAAGTAGTAAAAGTCCGGACAAACATTACGAGTCGCGTAAAACACGCCTGGACCGACCAGAGACCGACACAAAACTGGCTGCAAACTGTGCAAACAACGACGCGAGAGTTTATGATAAGAAAGCAATTGATGCGCAATGCCGGTGCGTCGATAGCACGCGACCTTAGGCACGCATTGCATTTGGTACGTTACCTGCGATCTAAACTTAACTAAGATGCGGCACCATGCGGCGTGAGGGGATGGCAACGACGACACACGGGTATGCGATAAGAAAGTGTAAGTTGTTTTCATCAAAACAAACGAAATTCTCGTGCCGAATGCTCATGTTTGCCAATAAATATATAAATAAACAATACAATTCTATTTTATGATTTTTAGTTCATACTACTCGTAGTGCCATCTCTGAATGAAACGGGTGGAAGTCCCGGAATTTAATTTTTTTTAATTAATGTAAGATTGTGCGATTGTACATTAACTATTAAAGTGTGTTTTGCAATTTGTATTAATCACAAAATGTGTGTTAGAAATACATTTTCTCAAGCTTCCACAGAGAAGCAATATTAAACAAAAAATTGGAAGAAAATCCCAAAAATTTTTCTCCAATGGTAAAAAGTTTTTGTTTCTTTTAACGGGGTTGGGTTTAAAAGTGGTCAATTTGGCAAAAAAAAACCATTTATAAGTAAATTGTTCGTGGATGAGAACCTTAAATGTCAAAAAATGAAGATGATAAAGTATTCAGAAATAAGCTGAAGTGATATAGCAATTAACGTATTGCCTTTTCAATTAATTTAATTTTAAATCAATTTTTGATCACAATTAATATCAAGCAAACACCTTTTATGCTAAATTAGGTAGGTATTAGAAAATATTCAAATAAGTCCATCGTCAAGTACTTATCAATAAAGTTTCACTTGAATCAATCACACTTTGCGTTTGGTGTAACAGTGAATGCTGTAAATTTAAAACATTACATCTTTATCAAAAACTTTTGCATAATAAAAACTTACTTTGACTAGGATTTCTGCAGTTATGATTGCTCAAATCACAATCATTTGAGAATCTACGAGATTCGCCTTGGGCGTTTTGAGCACACACTGGTAAATATATAGCTGGGCAAGCTCCAGCACATTCGGCGTGTGATAAATCCGCGTTCATGATTATAACTATAAAATATTAAAATTAATTAAAAACAATTTATAATTGTAATTTCACAAAGACTATGTTTCAATTTTATATTTTACCTACCGCAAGCAACCAATACAACAGCAATAATCTTCATTGTGATTGAGTATATTTAGGAGTACAAGTAAATTGTTCGCGGATGTTGGGAGCTTTATATATCATAATATTCAAGGTTAATTGCAAAAACAACATAGAAATTTACTCAGGTGATTTACAGCAATTAACTTATTGACTTTTATTAAAGGTGTATGGTATATCAAAATTATAATTTTATAAAAACTTAGAAAAACAAAGTTATTTTCTAAGAAATATGTTAATATTTATTGTTATGGTAAACAACATGAGTATTACCTATTGTTGTCTAATTTGAAGAACAAAAAACTTAAAATGAAAATTAAGAGTTGAGATGAGAACACTTAGTATCTTAGTAAATAGTACATAGTGATGTAACAGGTAATTAGAAACGAAAATATTTGTTCGCTGGCCTCTGGTTTCAATACCTACTATTCCAGTGAATTCAAACTTGCGCATGCGTAGTTGACATGTTCTAATAATGTTAAATTTTAGACGTTTTATTTATAAGCTTATATAATAAGATATTTTCTCTAGAATATTAGCACATATTTATTATTGTAATACAATTCTACGCAGTACAATTTGCGTTTTATGCGTTACGGTGTCAAAAGATTAAACAATTCCAATAATCAATCTAAAAATAGCACCCAAACATGTGCGTAACACTGCACAAACAAATCTTCCCTTATTTCTAATTTAATAAAGATTATTTTGGTAATGTCTTCTAATTGTATTAACTTATCTCACGATAAAACTAATTAAAAGCGAATGGCGTCTGGACCAAGTCGCAATACTATTTAATCAGTCGAATTCATGTGCGAACGCCGTTTTAATAAACTTCTCAATGAATTTATTACTCGCTTTGTTGCATTTCTGAACTTATTCCTCTCTGTCTCACACATACAATCCTTGATCTGATTCCCGATATTGCGTCAATAAACGTTAAAATACACAGGGTGTTCTAGAAACAGTCAAGTGTACCTAGCAATAAAAAAACTCTTCAAAACCATAATATTTTCAATGATATTATGCAAATCATGCGCAATAATAATAATTGTTTATATTAGAATAATTTTCTGAGCAATAACTAGATAAAGGGTATCGGTTTGAGCAACATTCTGTAATTTAGAATTAAAGACTGACAATTGCCATGGCGAATCTGATGATGTGTCCGGTCTAGAGTATTAATATAATCGAGCAGGAGCACACTTCGTGGTTCGCCAAGCAATAACACACATTTCAATTTACATAGCTTGTTTGTGCTGTGAGAATTCAATCGCAAGTAATTGTTTCGCGCCTTTCAACGTCCAAGCGTACTTCAAAAAACACCTGAATTTTATAAAGCAGACTTCTAAGATAAGATTACCTCAATTACTGGTCTTTTAGAAGTGGATTTTTGTCGACTTAACAACAAATTTTAATTTGTAACAAATTTTAATATGGATATAAGAATATCATTAATATTCGTGGGTAAGTTAAGATATACTTTTTTTTAAATGTAAATAAATATGTTTTAACACTAAAAATAGCAATTACTCGTTGTGAATGAGTGATTTGTAAATACGTATGAGTGTTATCGTTATCGCAAATTTCAATGTTACATTGCTTAGATGCTTCTGGAACATGTGTATTTTTAACCAGTGAGAATTTAAAAAATAGTTCAATCAATTTTTATTGAATGGCGTTGACGATTGTGACGCCATTATCTGGAATTGAATTTATTGCTTTTATAGGGTTATTGGTCACATCTGTACTTGCCGCCCCACCAGCAATCGGCATTCCTGGCGCAATGCCTTGCATGAGCAGACATTGCGATTTCGATTCGGATCCTGTGTGCGCCGTGGACGATTCCGGTGTTGCACTGACATTCT